CTTCCCTGAGGGTATTCCACATCTCAACTGGGCCTCTAGCCTTGCAGGTATATGCCAACTGAGAGTCTGCCATATGCAGAGCAATCTCAGCACTTGCTAGCTGAGCGCACTTATCCCAAGCACATTGGCAAGTAGCACCAGTAGGGCAGGGTTCTGAGCCATCGACAATGGACCACAGATCCTTCCTAGTGAGCTGCATCTCCATCCAATGATACACTGATTTTTTGGCTAAAGCAGAAACTGTACAGAATTGATAATCCTAGATTATGTATTATACTCACTATGGTTATACCAAGAACTATAGTGAGCCTGAGCTGATAGTTGAAGTCTATTGAGAGTCTATTGTACTCTAGAGATTGCAGAGTGATGGTACGCATTAATGGTATCTTACTTAACTTTGTGAATGCATCTCATTCCAAGTCCTATGCATTGTATGGTGTAGCAAGTCAAGCTCGGCGGATACCAAGTTGATGAGCAAGGCTATTCCAAGCCCACATATAATTATTACTAGGCTAGACAATCAAAAGACATACCCGAGGGATTGAAGTTTCCGAGGCAGCACTTGGTGCAGTCCAACGAGTTGGTTATACAAAATTTACAATGTTACTCTGCCAAGATGAAAACTCTTGACAAGAAAGCTTGCCTGGGCAATCTCATCGCAGAATGTCCGGTAACTCCGGCCCGGAGCTGCCGCAATGAATGGAAACACTTGTGAAATTAACCAAAAATTAACACTAAGTATACTCACTCTCTTCTGATAGCAAACTTGCATGAATTTATTCAGATTGAGCCCTTGACTTAAGAAAGTCATTTAAGGTCTGAAATTCATTGCATTTATGCTTTTGCAATGCAACAGATTGGAGGAATACGGTGTTGTGGCAGCGTTCTGAGTTGGACCAAGTCGGATCGGAGGAGATTACATCAGATATCAGTGTCTAAATACAAGTGCCCAAATGATCCACCTTAGGTGACAGACTCTCTACACATCATTACAATCGTGTAGTTGTCTGTTTATAAGAGACTAGTCATAATTATACAGTATTGAGCCTTCTTAAACACTCATATCATGAGACATCCGGAATCCCAGGGGCTGGGGCATACAAAATGTTATTGCCTTGTACTACTGTGTGTTGGGATACTTATATGGGTATGGCATCACTCAAGAATAGGAAGTCAAATACATGGTATTCCATTTGCACCTTATAGTTGTGGCAGGAGATGGGCAGGAAGCAAATGAATGAGGATCAATGTACTACAGATAAGTATATATAGTACAACACTGGTTTCCATTGTTCAATTGGAGGCCATGGCAAGCAATGGCCCTTGGAACAACACTGAGCCTAAGTTTAATCAATATCATGCATTACAGGTGTAAACACTAATTCATTATGTTATAAGGGGGGGAAAATTGCACTACGCACTCAAGAAATTTCAAGTTTTGCCTACAATGACACCAATGAGGACTGGTGAAGCTGGCTTACCAAAATTAATTATTGCATTACTACTTATCTTGAATGTTTCATGTTCAGAAGTGTTTGTGACATGTTACAATCATTGAATCATATCATGTTCCATGTGGACATTAAGTGCTATGGATTGTAGCACAATAGAGTAATAGTACCGTTCTACTACAAAATCTGACCAGTGACTTGACAAAGTTCTGATTATTTTCCTTTTCCTGTATTATAAAATTAAAAAAGCAGATCTCTTGAATACATGAGTGTAAAATAAAAATTTGAAGAGCAAAAGATAAGAATTACGCTTTAGGGAAATGATTTACAGTCAAAAGCCGCGAGATAAGCGCTGGATCCGGCACGCGCGCTCCGCTTGCTCGCTTTGGCCGGTCAAAGCAGGTTGCGTGCAATTGTGGCTGTGCGCGTTTTTCCGGGCACCTCGCAACAATTGGGTGAGCGAAGCGAACCCAATTAAACGTCCATGAAGCGCCTAACTCCCGGGTTTCCTTTATACCTAGTGTGTATGCCAGTAACGGTAAGTTCCAGATTAGCATCACACCATTTTCGCTGTCTGGAATCTGAGAGCTGCGACGTTCAGGAGCCAGTGTACATATACATCTGGATCTAGGTCGCTTTCAATATCATTATAGCTGGAAATCGACCGATGCCCTCCCGGTGTAAGTAAGTGCATAGCCTCTTTGGAAAATCAAGCTTTCGGGCTGAGTAAACAGTCAACTCAGTTTCGACTTCGTACTTGGCATTGATTCCGCGCTGAAACCGACTGGTTGGCGACTCTTCCGGTGGGACTCTTCCGTTGGCGACCCTAAGAAACTTAGAAAGTCGTAGCGACGTCTTGTGATTACTAATTTACCTTCACCGTATGCGTATAAATTACGTCCTATATATGCCAATGATGTTTTTCGCACCCCGGTGCCCACCAAGACCGCTCGCTGTTCGTTCTTCCCAACATCAGGTAGCATTGATCGAACTTCATCATGTCAGGCCTCTCTGCAGCAGAACAGGCCCAGATTAATCTTTCATTGGGAGCAGTGGTGAGTCTCTTTGAAGTGAATCTTAATTTGTAGAAGCTAATGACGGTCAACACTGGCAGGTTGTCGGAAACAACCTTTCGGTTCGTACCAGTCTCAAATTTCGCATGGATTGGACTTAAGTACCGTTATTACAGGAATTAACGATGGGTATCGTGCTTGCTGTCGGTCAGTGCACCAACACTGACGCTCACATTCACCGTACTACTTACGCAAAGCCTTTCACCAGCATGGTCCTATTTCTCAAAGTTCCCTGCTGATCCATGGTGGTTCAAAGCCATAGTTATTCTGTGTGTCATCTTGTGCATTGGTGGAACTGTTACAGATGGTCAGTGTCGTCGTTGCATCAATCTGTGCTCCCAACCTACTTACTGATGTTTTCGGCGTTGGCAGGTATCATGAATTATGACTGGGCTGTCACAAATTACGCGAGTGAGTCTAAGGTGCCATTCTATTGGTAACTTACTAACTACCTTTGCTCTTCAGATCCCGCCGCATTGGAGTACATCCACTGGGCGATTCCCGTTGGAGCTTGTTTCTTGTGAGATAGCAGCTACATTTGTTGTGTGCTATCACTGTTGAGCTACGCTAATGATTAACTGGTTGCTACTTCCAGTTCACTGTGTGGCCTCATCGTGCAGATCTTCTATGCATGGCGCCTTTGGGTAATGTCTATGAAAAGGAACTGGATCTTGCCTATAGCAGTTGGATGTCTCTCCATATTAGGCTGGTGTAGGGGATTTCGCTTCTCATCATCTAACAAACGGGTAATTATACTTGAATCTTCACAGCTGCTATCATCTGGGAAGTTCACGTTCTCGCAACACACCATCTCCTCAAGGATTTCGTTCTCGTGCTGTATGTACTTTATCTGTAGTGAACCACCTTAAACGCTAAGTTCTTGCTGGTCATCAGACCTGTGACGTACATATGGTTGGCAGGTTGCGTGTAAGTTGTTCTTCACTCAAATCTACAAGTACTGGAGCTAAGCAAATGATTCAATAGAGGCGCGGATGTCTTAATCACAGGCTCAATGATCTACTACCTTGACCTCCGTTTCCGAATCGAGCACCCAAATGATTACCATGCCCCGCAGTACGTTCGGAATATCCGTCGGACGTCTTTGATAACTTTCTTTTTCATTAGACGCTTCCGTCGAATCATTGTCCGCACCGTAGAATGCAACCTTCTGTCTCTTTTGGCTCAAGCTATCTCTGTTGGTCTATTCACTCAGAAAAGCGTCGGATTTTACTATAGTATGTCCAGTCCTGAATGATATTTAACCTCAGGCTCACCTTGCTTTGGTAGTCATTACGGACATGACGTTTACCAAAGTTTATACATTCTCTCTACTTGTTTCCTGTATGTTTAACTTTATCTTCTCTTCTCTCTCTCTCCTCAACGTGATTATCTTCTTCTTACTGACTACCTAATCCTGTAGTGAACAGTCGTCCAACTGACAATGACCGTGAGATCAGCAGAAAGAGCCTCTCTGAATACAGAGGGGGAGACGTAGACTTAAATACTATCAGCAACAAGCCCAATGTATGATGTGTAGACTGTAGTTATTCTAGTGTACTTGACTCGGATGGACTGCCCGCCTCCACGTTTGTCAATTACTGATTGGCAATTTATATATACATACTGATACTTTTATCACTGGTTTGGTTACTTTAGTTGCTTACAGTTTGTTATTAGCGTATACTCAAGAGTTTGTACTTAGATATTCAAAATAGAGACCAGCGTTGAACCAGCGTTTACAGTGTCGAAATCTCCCGCTTTGACCATCGTTAAGTCATCCGCCTGGATTACATTCTTCAATCTACAAGCTACTTAACTTTGTACTAGGGACATGTGTTCGAGTAGTCTACAGTAAGTTGCATTGAAAACGTTAGTCCGAGATTCTGACGACCTTGTTTATGTATATTTGCTTGGACCAGCTGGCAATACATTTACTGTATTATCATTTGCGCCACTTACAAGTTTCAATTAGGCCGAGCTGCCGTTGTAAGTGGCGCGAATGATAATACAGTAAATGTATTGCCAGCTGGTCCAAGCACACCTGAAGCACACACACATAAACAAGGTTGTCAGAATCTTCGACTAACGTTTTCAATGCAACTTACTGTACGATGATTAATGATAATTGAGCTTGTGGTTACAAACGCCGCACTTTCGGTAGCAAAGTTTAGCTCTACTGGTCAAGGTAATGCCGCCAAAATGCTTGGATTACAGGGCACATAAGGACCCCGTTCAGGCTTTTAGGAGTAATATAATCTCATCTCAGTTAGACGCGTGTACGCATCCCTGCGTACATTCCGTCTCCAACTAAGCACGATGCTTATGCAGAGACGGAAGCAGAAGAAAGATAATATGTACTTCCTTATTATTGCTAGTATTCGTTAGTATACGTGATAAAGTAAGTAGTGCAGAAAAAAAATGAAATGAACACAAAAAAAGTAAAAACGCAAAGTTCCTACCTAGATGACGATGATGATGATTCGGCGCAGGCTCGAACTGCGCCCTTCTGTAAAACAGTCCGTATTTGTTATTTGAATGCTTTAACCAGCTACGCCATCGAATCATGGTGTTGTGGATGTAGCTCCTAGTAGACTAGTAACTTACAGCTTGTAATTGAACTTGTATGTAGTACATCTCAGATATCTATCAATACAATGATATGCTAATAGTCTCGGCAGAAATGGAGGGAAGTGGCAGAAGAATATTGGAGATCCTAGTATAACTGTAAGAGTAAGTGCGCAAAAAAAAAAAGCAATTCGAAATGAACCAAACCAAAAAAAGTAAAAACACAAATGCGCATATGCAAGCAGTGAAAATTCTCCATGGACAGTGATTCGACGCCCTTCAAGTTTGCTTCACCCCAGATCCCCAGATCCCAAAAAAGGAAAGAGGAGATTCAAGCAGCGATACTGTACCATTTCGATCGAGCGTTCAGTCATGCGTCATGGGCACCTCTGAACTGAACTAAAATCCAAATTCGTCATGCATCATATGTGCCTCTGAACTAATATCAAATCCATCATTTTTCTACCTAGATAATAAATTTTCTGTTCGCGGCTGTTTTTTTCCCCATGTACAGCTGCATTGGCTATAAAAAAATGCTGTACAATTAGCTATTATTGTTTCCTCAGCTCACAACAAACTATTTCAAGTATATTGGGCTCTGGACAAGCACTAAATTTGTGGTGAACTGAACTCAAATTTTTCTCCATCATGCATCATTGAGGTCAATGAACCAATGAACTGGTGGTGTCAATGCATCATGCATCATCCTGGATGAACACTCGATCGAAATGGTACAGTAATTCGATCCTGTGGATCAGGCTTGTCGGAAACAGAGGGCCGGAGCCGCAGGGGCTTGCTCCGAACCTACTAAGTTCAGTACAATACGCTAGTCTATCGATTTAGCCTCTCAGTGCTAATCATTCAACCCAAGGGGCGTTCGGCACTTGAATGGCAGACATCATGCACCCTTACTAAAATAGGCAAGGGGTGTCTGATCCGATAATGCGGGTCCGAAATATCCGAGAGAGCGCTTAGTCTATGTGCACTCTCGTAGAGTTCTTAGCGTGGTTCCGCACTTCAGTAAAATGAGATTTGAACTTTTGACTGCCTTTGGCAGCCTCTGGTTGCACAGCGTCGATAATTTGCTCTCTGTAGCTGTTTCATGGATGTCTTGAATGCTTACGGCGCTTATTTCTGGTCGCATGGCTTTGACAGGTCACGTTAAGCGCATTTTGTCTGCCGTTCTGCTGCCGAATGCCCCTTGATCGGTTGATCTCAGTGTACTAAGTCGATGTACCATTTGGTATCACCCCTTTAATACAGAGTCATGTTCACGATCCGCACGATTCTTCAGTCCTTTTTAGCATAAACTAATCAACATCACCTTCATAGACGGGTACAGAGTGTACATCATAAATACTTGGAATTCTTCGACTCGTTAGTCTCATTTGCAATAGGAAAACTGAACAAGCAGTATCCCCTAGATCATAATAGTCGGTATATCTCCGATTCGCGTCTTTGCACCACCATACGGAACCAGCTTCACCGTCTGCGCGCTGCCAAGGCATACCCTGTCACTTCCATTCGATGGAATACCAGGCACGGAGCCCAAGTACATGTCCCAAGGAATTAAACAAGCTTGAGCTTCCATCCACAATGGTGCCGACCCAGGTGCGTACGGAGTCGACAAAGACCCATGAGTAGCATTAAGAGACGAATAAAACGTTAACGTCGAAGGATCAATCGCGTAATTCCACGCCGTATTATTGGCGAAATAAAAATCTTCGCATTCAGCGGGCACGGGAAAATGACACAACCGCAGCGTCGTTGAACCATGCATGAGGAGGGGAAGTGGTTTCGGTCGAGTTTATCTCAAGAGCATAGAGCAGGGGACCGCGATGAACGGCAATAGTATCGTATTGCCGAGTCTCTATGCTGATTTGCGACCCGAGTGTATACGTAACTGTCGTCTGGCCAGCCTGGATGCTCAGCTGGTGCAAGCCCGATTGGGCATCCGGAGACAAGGCGGAGGACGGGCCAGAATTGACGGAAATGCTGGAAGATGAACTGTCGTACCAACCAGGTACTCGCACATATAAATCGAAAGCTCCATCGGCTTGGATACTGTAGGTGAGTGTGTCACCAAAAGGATACGAAGTATCACAAGACACAGTGATCTGACCACTGCTCAGAGTCGTGGTGACACTGGTTGGTCCTAGTAGGGCATGGACCAAACCGTTCCCATCAACAGTGGTAGCATATGAGGCCATGACAAACTTGGGAAGCCCTTGCGGGTGGTTGAATTGACAACAGGGATAGTTGGGCTGTAGACCAAAGGTTTGACCAACCAAGTTGACGTTCCAAAAGGGCGATTCAGAGAGTTCTTGACAGTATGGCTGATTAGGCTGAGCCATGTATTGGTGGCCCCACCAATCTGCAGTCAATTGAGCAAACATTGCGTTGTAGGTCAAGAGCTCTGCGCGATCCGCGAAGTATCCTAAACCGAGAGACTGGTAAAGGTAGCTCAATGAATACATCGTCTCGACAGCGGTGCAGGTTTCGGAACTATAGGTAAAGCGAGTTCAATAAAACAAAGCAGAATCGTTCAAACTTGAGGCTCACCCGCTCCAGGGATCCAGACCCTCAAGGATCTCATCAGCAAGAATATTCCCTGAAGCAGATCCATGGTAGGTGAATGTCCAATTCACGGCATTCATCGCCGTATCGATCAAGCTGTCGTTGGACGTTAAACGACGAACGACTCCAAAGCTTTTCAAGCCTGTCCCAGTTATCAATGATGAATCTTTAGGCAGAAGAACCACAATACCTTGACCAATATTCACCCCATGCTCGTAAGGAAAGATGGGACTTGTGCTCGGATCTATGTCCTGTCCCGAGAGATCTTGCGTCGGGTATACACCTTCCACATACCACTCATTCCAATCGATGCTGCCGTTGTAAAGGTAATACATAGTGTCGACCAGTTCTTGTTCTTTTCCCGCCGGATGCTTCTCTAACAGCCACTGTAGAACAACAATCATATCTGCATATCGAACACGGCCCCACGTAAAGTCTTCTGGCTGCAGCTCATCGTCTTCCTGATACCAATAGTCCGTGTAGTTGTTCTGTAGGCTGACAAGCATGTAGTCCACAAAGTTGCCAAACATGTTCACCACAGGTTCCTCCCAGGTCGAATTAGCATCGACAAGATTCATGAATCCCAATGAAACTGGATAACGGGCCCAGAATGTACGTGTGTTGGGATCTGTTTCAGGTCCAATCCATCCATCGTCGAGTTGGTTGGCAATGATAGAGCTAGCGATCTGGTGTACCTGCTCCTTGAGACGCTCATCATTTAACGTATATGCTAAAGGAACGAGTGCGTTGAACCAGTAAGGGATCGCTTCGTTAAGGTCAGAGTATGAAGGATAGTCCCCTCCAATCCAAGTCCCTTCTGTAATGTCGGGGTCAAAGTCATGCATATGACCGGCAAGGCCATTGCCTTCCGTCTCGAGCTCCGCCTGAAGCCACCCATTCGCTTTTACGCTACCCAGCGGCAGAGGAGCAAATGAGAAAGGAAGGAGTGCTTTTGCGAGATGTGTTAAGTCTGAAACTTCTCGGGAAGTGAAATCAGGCCAACATACTTGTGTTTGTAGCATTAACAGCCGCTAAAGCTAGAGAGCTGGTGGAAAGAACAAGGGCCAAGTTCTTGATCAGCATGTTGGCTCGCTGCTAGATGATGGTGCCAAAAGAAACTTCGAATCAGCGGTGCACTCGAGCAATGGTCATTTTATGGAAGGATCATGCCCCTTTTTCCTTCCTTCGATGGCCAATGTCAATGACGCTATGAGAGCAAAAAAAAAATTCGGAAGAAAGAGGATTGGTATGGAGGTCCCATGTTACATCGTTTTAAATTACTTGAGACGATGTTGCTTATGATTGTCGCGGCGAATTCAAGATTCCATGTGCTTTTTTTGGTAACGTGAAAACAAGATAGTTGACGTCCACACTAGCTATACTTCAAATAGTCATATGGCATATGGCACATTGTTGTGATGGCTGAAATTCCTTTTAACATGAATATGTACAGTCTGGCAATCGATATCATGGAAACCTTAGAGCAGACTATAATCTGAGAGGGTACATATGCACTTACTCAAGGTCATAAGACGAAAGAGAAACACATATTAAGCAATTAAGTATGTGCGTCGTATTGTGGTGACAAGAACGAAATCGTACGCTTTTGGGCGTCTAGAGGTTAGACGCCCACGTGGCACGATCTTGAATATGGACAGCAACGGCGACGACCCGCAAACCCTCCTCATCTCTACCCTCCGCTCTCAAATCTCCGATCTCTTTACACAGGTAACGCAACTAAACGGGAAACTCGTACAATCCTACGACCGTGTGTCGGATTTAGAAGATGAAATCCATTCTAGTTCCCTTTCACTGCGCCAGGCCTCGGTGAAGGTTTCCCAGCTGGAGCTGGAGAGAACTCAGCATCTTTCCGCGTTGAATACGGGATTGCTGGTAGAGAAAGAGGTAGTGACGCAGGAATTAACACGATTGATGGAGAAAGCCACCGAGGAAGCAGCGTCCAGAGGATTAGCTGAATCGGCTAAAACACAAATTGAAAAGGAATTAGATGATCTTTCGGCGTCGTTGTTCAGCCAGGCGAATACGATGGTAGCGGAGGCGCGTTTTGCACGGAGTTTGGCAGAGGAAAAAGCAAGGAGCGCAGAGGTTATGTTGAAAGGAGCGGAAGAGGCTGTTGGTGTTATGCAGGGTGAGGTTAGGAGGTTGGTGGAGGAGAAAGAAAATAAGGAAAAGGAGCTTGAGAGGTTGAGAGGGAGGGGAAAGTACAGGGCGGAGGAAATGAGTTCTGAAAGAGTGATGATGCGAACGGGAAACGTTGGATATACAGAGTTTTTGGCCTTCGTGGGCCATTTGAGGACGCTTAAAGCGACTAAAGCAACGCATCCGACGATGAATACGCTACTGGGTCTGCCATTTCTAGCAAGGCTGATGAATGAAGATTCGTACGTCGTCCGCCCATCT